AAGTTGGGATATTTTTTTTATATATGGCAAAAGTTGTGGCATTTTTTTTATTCTCCCAGCACAAAATGAATCGCAAAAATGGATAGTATTTGGGCTTTTTGGTACATTTTTTCACAAGCCTTTTCTGTTTGCCTTTTCTTGTACCATCGTTTTATCAAACGAGAAAATTGTCGATATTAATGAAGGTACGAACTGCTGAACACACCAATACAAATATTGTTAGTACTATTGTTTTTTTGTGTGGTACTTTTTTCGCTTTCTGTTTAAAGCAATATTATAATGTAAAACATCCCAGAAAATCCATATCTTCAAGCAGTTAAACATCTTGAGCCGCGTCATGTCGTCATTTAAGGTCGTCCAGGTACACACAAAGTCGAAGGACTTTCGTGCTGCCACTAAAATTGTCGATGTCCCTGCAATTGAAACCCCTGCACCTGGCTGCGTTGTGGTTAAGAACTGCTTTTTGGGCATCAACGCCACCGATATCAATGTGACCTCTGGTGCCTACACTGGTACTCTCCCCCCTCCATTCGGATGTGGTCTAGAAGCTGCAGGTCGCGTTTTCGCGATTGGTGAGGGTGTCACTGACGTAAAAGTGGGCGATTCTGTCGGCTATCAGAAATTTGGAGCTTTTGCCGAGTACGTTGAGGTGCCAGCAGCCAATCTTATCAAGACTCCAGAGCTCTCCCCTTCTGTAGTGACGCTGACAGTTGGCGGTCTCTCGGCTTCTATTGCCCTAGAACATATTGGAGAAATGAAGTCCAACGAGACGGTGTTTGTATCTGCTGCTGCTGGCGGCACTGGTCAGTATGCGGTGCAGCTAGCCAAACTCGCCGGGAATCACGTTATTGGTACGTGTAGTACCGACGAAAAGGCAGAACTTTTGAAAAAACTAGGGTGTGATCGTGCGATAAACTACATGAAAGAGGATGTTGATGCGGTCTTAAAGAAAGAGTATCCAAATGGTCTTGATCTCGTTTTTGAGTCTGTGGGAGGGGATTTGTTTAAGGCTGTGACAAACAATCTCGCAGTTCATGCGCGTGTGATCCTCTTTGGATACATTTCGGCCTACCATGGCGACAAATCGAATGAGCCTATGCTTGTGAACGAGTTGAGCCCAAAACTGTTGACCAAATCCGCTAGTCTGCGTGGATTTATTTTGTTCAATCATTTTGAACATATTCCATCCCACACGAAACGATTGCTGAAACTGATAGCCGAAGGAAGTTTGAATCCTGGAATCGATTCGACGGAGTTTCGCGGATTGGAGAGTATTCCCGATGCTATTGATTATATGTATGCGCGAAAGAACATGGGCAAATTGATCATTAAGCTGGAGTAATAATCGTACCCGAATGCTTGAAGACCACGCCATACTTTGCGCGGTAAGAACAATAGCAACCACCATGGCAATCAAAATTTCTATCAAATTGAACTGTTACATCTGCAAGTATGTTGCAAAATAATTGGGTACATTATTGTTATATAAACATTTCTCTTGATGGTAGTAATAAGTCCGCGAACCAGGTGCTGTGTTCGAAGTTGTGATCAGTTCAATATTCAATTCTTTCACATCAAATGATAAAGGCCATCTGAAAATTAAGTGCATTCGCCACTCATCAAGTTTGTTCAAGAAAACACGAGGTAAGTGATCGATTATATTTCTGAGGTCATATGACTCATTGCTTAGGTCATATGCGCTTATTTGTAACAAGGTTGATTCTCTTTCACTAGCCCACTACACGTTCTCAAAGCGTTTGAAATATGATAAATTCTGTACTCGCTTATCATCAACTGATTTTCAAATCTGCGACCACTTGTTTTTCTGCTCTGCCGTATTTTTCGATGGATTAGAAAATATATGCCAGTGAAGGTGCCGTATACGCCAAAGTACGAGCGTGCCATGTACGTCACCTACACTGACTTTCATTCAGTATATCTGTCGCATCACCTTAATTACTATTTTATCCACTTTCTCCCTAAAATCATCTTTGCGCGCATATGTTTGCAATGATATCCATCGTCATCACCAGATGAAGCTGCCTGCAGCTCATCGGACAGTGTAGTTGAAAGATCATCGGTTGCCGAGTTGGCGTCAAACGTAAGCGCGCTAAAAAAGATGGCAATCTGAGGATGAAAAGAAGAAAATCGAAATTAAATGTATTGATACAGAGGTAAAGACACTAACTTCGCCATCACTAGCAAAAAGTTACATGTCGGAGCGACACGCTTTTTACCTTATACACGAATCAATTGTTTCCGCAATCCGTCTTAAACTCGCATAATCAGGTCGTGATTTACCAAATCGTCGACAACAACCCTACTGGAATCACGCACTTTCTGAAAAGCAGTACATCACGAGGAAAAGATTCGACACAGCCTTTCCAGGTTTATTTATTAGCAGCTACATAACATTAGAATTTTAATGTGTCAAAACTATCTCAGCGTTGCCAAAAGTTGAGCTCATTTTGCCAATTCTCGGACATTTGTTCTATATCGCATGCTGCAGAAATGTACAGGGTGTAGGGTGTAGTATATACACAAGAGTACAGGATGTACTCTTTACATGTAGCTGTGCAAGGCTCACTATACTTCGCAACAATTTGACTTTTACGCATGACTTGGGAGTAGACTTCCAAAATTTACATGGAGTATCTTTAATGAATGCCTATCATTGTGGTACTTTCGAAGGCAAATATATCAGGTTTTGTTATATACAGATGTTACGGAGTATTTGTGAACATTAAACGTCAAAAGTGATCTGGTTTCAGGGACGGTACACCACAAAGAAAGGTTTGGAGGTGAGCTTTTAGCCTCATTTTAATCAAGTGTAACAAACAGCGGTATACATTTTAATGTCGGAAAATGGCTAAGGTATTACAATTTTTACGTCAAATGAGCAACAACCTTAATCATGAATAATCGCTACCATTACAATATTGGCATATTTGTATGGACGTTTAAAGGTGAAATCTGTGGCAATACAGAACACCATTTGAATGAATGAAGAGTAATTATTACTTCTTCGACTGCGCCATATACATCGTACGATCACATGTTGTAGAATCCCAGTATAACTTCTACTTAATAATTCAAGCATGTACCCTCGCACAGAAGAAGCTATCGAAGTCATATTAGCCACGACAAATGCACGTAGGATGAGCTCGCACACTTCACACAGGAAATAATTGTGAATAATACGACTTTTTTGCTCGAACATTTATAAGAATTAAGTATTTCCTAAATTAATACAATTCTACACGAAATATTTTAATAAAAGACCCTATGTACCCCGTTGCATGAGTCAAGAGGCCCACGCGTCTAAGAAATATCTTTTCTACGCGGTCCCATCACCTCACCGTACCAAGAACGGCTCACGCTACTTTCCTATGGTACTTCACATAGGATTTTGCGAGTTTCGCTCTAGGTTCAACAATAACAATTGTCTAATGTGTATGTACACCGTAATAGGGCACGCACTCGCCCGCTTCATAACTCGTGTGTGGTCACGGTTTTTTCACGATACATATTGCATATATTAGCACCAAATCGTGCCCGTAGTATGTCTTTCTAGCTGCAAGTTTTTTTTTCTGCTCTTACGAGTATTTGCCACGCCAATGTCCTCTCCTTGGCTTACCCTGTTTCTGTGAACGATTCACCGGGACAGGTGAGGCTCCTGCTATGTACGACTCCTGTAAGCCAGCGGCGGAGACATCATCCGATAATAGCGGTCACGATGCCCGACCTAATAACTAAAGTATATACAGTCAGGTCGTGCCCGATATTTTTCTCTTCTTATCGATCATCACATTTTTTTATTCTGCACGCCAAACCCGCTCAAAAGGTATTACGACACACTGCCGCGAAGCTTGCGATGGGTTTCAAATCGCTACATAATATCCCGGACCTAGCTCCACTCGCCGTGCTTGCCCCTGTGTAAGCGCAAGCACTGCAACTTTTGACATAATCGCCCAAGATTGCTTTACGTCATTATTATGGTTTGTGCAGCGGGGCTGCCGTTGCTCTTTGCTTAGAGGAAGATTTGCTAAGGTCACCGACCTTGCGTTCTTTATCAGAACTAATACGAATGCAGCGGATCGCAATCTGTAACGGGGTCACACATGAAAGCGCGGGTCACACATGAAAGCGCGGGTCACACATGAAAGCGCGGGTCGCACAAGATTGCGCGACCATACATAGGTGTGTATTACACCAGTTAGTTTAATCACACAGTGGTGTAACTAAACCGTAACAAAAAGGAAGAATTGCTAGTTGTAATGTATATTACTATATTAAAGAGGTTTAACTATATTAATTAGGTATTACTGTATTATATAGGAAAACCTAGGGTTCTGGATTTGGGCGGCTCTGCCGCAATTAAAGCAATTAAATACAGTTCCAATTTTGAAAAAAAGTGTTTGTTTGTCTTGGTTATGTTGTTTAGTACTTGGAGGTGATTGATTGCGATTCGCTACACTCGTACTAGTGCTTGGGAAGAACGTATGATCGGTGACCTTAGCTAAGCTTCCTCTATACAAAGAGCTACAGCAGCCCCGCTGCACTTGGTAGCACATGCAGTCAATCTACGCCTGAGTTGTTACAACAGATCTTCGTTGAGGATGGAGAAATACCTTTTTTTTACCCCAGAGCATGCAGAACGGGCTTTATAAGCTGACGTCTCTTTTGAGCCCTAAAAGCGTGTACTACCTCGTTACGCAAGGGCTTAAGGCCATAAGCGCGCACCTAGTGGCCTTTACAAATCATGAAAATGCTCTGAAAGAGCACTTAAAGCAGAAGCTGTCAGTATTGACTGCGTCGATGACGCCACCGTCGACGACGAATGATTCCTTCCGGCCAAGGCCGCTTAGGTAAGCCGAGATGGCTATAGCATCTGCCATGCTCCAAACGAGCAACAGCGCGTGGCGCTAGCTATCTCCAAGCCCGGGGGTCAAGCGCGAGGATGGCAACAGATCCTCTCCCCGAAGCGGTCGCAGTGACCGTCTTTATGGAGGACCTCTGCGCTGGCGTGGCCAGAAGAGAAGTCTTTCGTGTGTATCCGTATTCTTTTGAAGAAGCGGTCAACGTGGCATTGTTTGCCGAATTCAACTTCAAGTCGGCACGACTTGGTTGGTCAGAGAGCATCGAGCGAGCCTGAGCCGATGGATCTCAGCTATGCGGAGGGGGAGCTTCGAGCTGCTAAGCAACGTGTAAACAACAGATGGTGTTTTGTTTGTGGGGATTCCCGTCACCTTTGGACGGGTTGTCTCTTGCGCTAGGCGCGTATAGGTTCGTCGTACCGATGCCCCGCTTCTAACCAGTCTGGTTTGTCGCGGGGAAAACGAGAGCGCCCAGTAGGTGCGGGCTCCTTATGAGGGAGAACTGAGTTCTGTTGAGCCTTAGAAAGGTAGAGGGTCGCAAAACCGGGCTTGATAGTCGTGGAAGCAACTGTGGGGAGCTTTGAGAAGCCACGGAAAATCCTTATCGATTCTGGTGCGTCAGACATTTATGCTCAATGCTCCACGATAAAAGGAAGCCAACTGTATGCTGAGGCGCTGAGAACGCGGTTTTGTGACACCTCCACTGTTCGCTGAACGACGCGGACTTTTGTCACTGAGCTGTGGGTCCCTGTGGACCTTGATGGCAAGTTCCTTGACTTTGATAGCGGGGAGCTCTGTCTAGTCTTAGATTTGGATGCTAGGTATGACCTTATCCTTCATATGGCATGGTTGAAACACCATAAACCATGGATTGATTATAGGAGACCTTGGGCGCTACGCGCACGTCTTCTGGTGGAGCTTTGGTAAATCGTGAACCCACCTCTGCTAAGAAGCAGATGCGCTTTTGGCGCGGGCACTGGGCCGGGACGGTCAATGTACTAAATACTGGAGTAGAACACCAAAAAGGTTCTGACAAGAGTCCCGAGCGTGGCTCGTGGTATGAACGTGGAGTAGCACGTAACCCACTGAGCGATGCTCAAGCTTTGGAGCAGTCGCTGCATGCCAATGGTGGCATGGTCAGACGAGGTCCGAGGCATCCTGAGCAAGGCCCTTCTGATGCGCGTGGAGTGGCACGGGACACACTGGACGAAAACTGCGGTAATAGCAGCTCGTTGTCGGATGTTGTAAATAACATCAAGGCTCCGATGGAGAAGGGAGAGGGGGCACTGGCGGACGCCGAGTGCGTGTTCCAACTGGTCTTGATGAGACATAAAACCTCCAGGAGACAACGAAGCCTTGGAATCCTTCATCAAAGGATAGTACGGATCCGAGGGTGTCTTCTGGATCGATTATCCACTTCGTGCGTTCAGCACCCTTGTGGTGTCCCCCAGGACAACTTCACCCA